ATAACACATCGCCAACAGCAGCCAACGTTTTATAAGGCGTTGACGGTCTTTTTTCCGAGGGACTGCACAAAAGCAACCTGGTTTTGGTTTTCTGCCATATGTTGGCACCAATTAATCATCGAAACAACAAATCGTAGAGTGACTGGTTGTACCACTCACCGAAAGAAATCCGCCTGTGAGCAGCGTTTGTTTCTTAAAGTGAGACTAAGTCACGCGAAATTAATGTTTAAGTGTGGTATTTCAGAAGACGAAAAAAGATTGAAATTTGGTCCATATATTTCAGTGCAGGTTGCCGGATCGGACTCCGCAACATGTGCATTAGTGAACATCGCATTGTGGACGGAAAGTACTGAGTGTCGGTATGTGCGGCTAACCGTCATCCAGGCTGCTGACTTGTTGAAACGGTTGCAGAAGAAGCAAAACAGAAGCACTGGCTTATCGAGAACGATTCATTAATGAAAATTCTTCATCAGAATGTTTAGGTCCATAAAATTACTTAAATTTTCTTAATGGAGTTCTCGATGTCATTGGTATCTACATGTCTAACAGCTATCCGGATTACAGATATATTTAAATATAAAAAGCGCACAAATCGAGAACTCCCTTCCCCCGTCTCCTCCTCCGACTCTTGTTCTTTGTAAGCAGAACAAAATGTTTGTGAGACGTCTCCGACAGACGTATCGTACGGTTGTTATCAATAGTGTACCGAGCACACAGGGAGTCGTAAACCACTCCGCGGAGAGAAGGAATGAGCGGGGGGCCCGTCGGAGAAATAATATAAAAGGATAAGCAATGGAGTCAGTGTTCATCCGAAGGCAACTACTAAAGCTCGGCTCGCCTCGGCTCCAACTCGGCCGGCCTCGGCTACCACGGTCAGCCCCGACAGCGGGATGTGTTGCCGATTTATGGGCAAACATGTAGTGGGGGAGCAGGACGCGGGATAGGCGGGGAGGAGAGAGGGAAGGGAGGAGCAGGAGGAAGGTTGGGACGGGGAGACAAGGGCGACGGGGGAGAGGCAGGGGACGGATGGGAAAGAGAGGGGTGGGGGAAGCGGGGGAAAGGGGAGTAAGGATAGGGAAACGTGCAGGGAGGGGTGAGGGAGGGGCTGCCGTGTGAGAATGGTGACCGCTGAGTCGGAGGTATTGGGGAAGGGGTGCTGGG